GTGCAACAAAAAAAATTAAAAAAAAGGGGTTTGATGCCATTGTTGAAGGTCAGTAGAGTAAACGGTTGAAATTAATGAACTTCAGAGACAACGGAACCATGTGTGAAGGCTCAATTATTCTGCATTGAGCGCATTTTTTTTTTAATCTTTTCTTCCTTGTTTCCTACCCATGTTACATCATTCGTTCTTGCCAATTACGGTGGTTGACGCATTTGCCAATTAAACAATCACAAAGTTTTAAATGCCTCAAAATCTGAAGAGATGTGTATTCATACAAAAATTAGGTTTTCGTTTGGTGGACGAAGAAACTAACCCTGAGATCGAAGACGGCGCCGAGGAGGCAAAGGCGAAGAAGAATTAAGAGGAGGAGACGCTCTCACTCTGACAGATCCCCCTGGGGTGTAACTCCCCGAACAACAAGAATCGCGATCAGAAAACGAGTTGTTACCCCTAACAAGCCTATGCTTCTTCGATCCGAAGAAGCCGCCGCTCGTAACGAAAGGAGGAGCGGTGTTGTGAGAGCCTGAGAGGCGAGAGGGGAGAGGCGGCGTTGTGAGAGGCGAGAGGGGAGAGGCGGCGTTGTGAGAGGCGAGAGGGGAGAGGCGGCGTTGTGAGAGGCGAGAGGGGAGAGGCGGCGTTGTGAGAGGCGAGAGGCGGCTTGAGAGGCGAGAGGGGAGAGGCGGCTGTGTTGTGGGAGTCGAGTCTCTCAGTCTGAGGTAGGGTTAGGGTTAGCCGGTTAGGGATTTTAAGTATTTATAGTATATTTACCCCCCATTTTGTTGACGGGTTTTTCGATAAGGAAAAGCGACTGGGATCTGATATCGTCGCTATTGGATTGGACGCCGGGCGCTTGGAGCAGCGTGCGGTGTTTTTATATTGTTTCTTTTGTGTAGACCCCTTGTGATTACATCATCGCTGGTTTATTTATAAGGATAATTTTCACTGGTCCCCAAAAGCTTTAGGGTGTTGCACATTAAGGGGGTGTTTGTTTCAAATCCCAAAATTTATGGATATGGATTTCACCATAGAATTTGAAATCCATAAGATTTTTTACATGTTTTGGGATCTCTAAAATTTTGTTTGTTTCATCAATATTTTAGGATTTGGAATATCAAAATTTGTAATATTTTGTTTGTTTCATCAATATTTTGGGATTTGGAATACTATAAATTGTAATATTCTGTTTGTTTCATCAATATTTTGGTATTTGGATTACTATAAACTATATATTATAATATTATATAATATTTTAATAACATATATTATTATAATATTATATAATATTTTGGGATTTGGAATATTACAGCATGAACAGTGATTATTGGGTCCTCCTATATATATTATATATTATATATATAATATTATATATTATATATATATTATATTATAGATATAAAGTATCGTTGCAGAACACAATACCGATTAGATATAAATTAAATGGAACACATTTGGACGTTCGAGAGAAACTTATAAGAATGTAAAAGAATTACAAGTTAAGAAGGCGAACAGCCGTCATCTACCAACAATGCATTTTTCCCCTGTATTTAGGCAGTTGCTTTCACTGTGATGTAAGCGTCCAAACATTATATATGCATTATCAGTCTTGCTCTCAATACAAATGTTCCACTCGATGACTGACTAAAGCTACTAAAATGAATGATTAATATTACATTTGAGATGAGTAATACAATGTTAGAGGTTATCCGTCGATTTCTTCTTGAATTGGATGTCTTCAATAGTACCTTGAAAGTACGCTTTCCACAAGATAAGCCGAAAGCCCAAGCATGCTGTCAAGCCAATTGATCCCTTGATGCACCTTTTGAGTTTTGAGGAAATAAATCTATAAGTTGTCCTCTAATTCATCCGGGAGATGTAATTGAAAGTCCTATACCGTGCAGAGAGTTGATTGTGCCGAAGAAATATCAGGCAATCATTGTCTTCAAAATGATGAACAAGAAAATATATACTGTTGTTTTATGCCCTTTCCCACATATCCTCCCTAAAAAAAGAAATAAAAAAGGAAAATCAAACACAAAGACACAAATAAATATATAGAGGACGAAAAGGAAGGTTGGTGGAGTATATAGGTAAGATGGTCCCGTTATTATACTTGTACGATACAATGCTCATAAACATATAATTAATTGCACTTAAAGTAATAAGTAACCTGGCCAAGCATTGCAGCTTCCGCATCTATTCCGCCAACTCCCCAGCCAGCAACACCTAACCCATCTATCATAGTTGTGTGGGAATCAGTACCAACAACACTGTCAGGGTTAAGCATTCCTTCATTGTTAAAAACAACTCGTCCAATGTATTCCAAGTTCATCTGCAAGACAGGTTAAGAACAACGTTTAGATTATGCAACCATTAATTATCATAAACTCGTCTGAGATTAAACTCTTAACACGACAGCAGATCAGATGCACCCTTCATGAATGATGTAATATAATTACATGGTGGACAATACCAGACCCTTTTGGGACAACAAGCATATTATTGAATGCATTGGAACACCATTTTAAAAATCCAAATCTTTCCTTGTTGTGTTGAAACTCAAGTTCCATATTTGCCTGAACTGCATTCGCTGATCTTGCCACATCAATCTGTACTGAGTGATCAATAACAAGATCCACAGGAACCTGCACTTAAATGTTAACCCTCAGATAGTAGCTAAGATAGTCAACACGATGGAACAAATTACACACAGGCCAAATATGTGCATAATTTTGCTAATATAAATAATAGTTCCAAATGTTACAACAATAATGGTATTGCTATGGAATCCTTACAATTGAAGTAACGCGTCAAATCATAAAACAATTTGTTTCTTCTATTTCAGTTATTTATGCCTCCTCATAAAGTTTGGCCACACATAAATGGCTTAATAAAATAAAGTTTTATAAACAGAGAAAAGAAAAAAAGCTCTAATTGTGGAGTATACATGTACCATAGCTAAGATAAACACGCCAGCATAAGGAAATAATTCATCAGTTTCAACAATTACAAACAGATAAATATCGACATACATGCAGAGATTACAGAAGAATATATTGTATAAAGCATAGAAACAAGTGATTTTGCGTCAAGGGACCCAACAATTTTTTAAAGCAGAATATAATATTTGAGCAGACCTTTCCATGAACAATCTTCCCACTGCAATTTTCCACTGATCAGAATATCATAAGACGTTCTTCTACAAAAAGTAAAGGTGGAGAGAATTAATGTAAGGTGTACCGCAGAACCGAGTAGAGCATCCAGTAAGTCCTCATCAGCATAGACACAATTGCCTTCAGTAGAATTACCAATCAGGTAAAGATGTGTCTTGATACCTGACATACACCAATTCTCTGTAGTACATTAAGATAAAGCATCAAAATGCTCTCTGAGATGTAATTAAAAAGATTAGCCTGACTTTGAGCTCAATATCAGATAAAGTACTATAACTTGGCATTAAGGGTTATTCATGCTATCACATGATAATCAAGTGAAAGATAAAATTTATTTTCCAGCACTGAATAGATGTTATCATAAGAAAGGAGTACCTCTAATGCAACATCAAGGGCATTTGAACCAACAGGATGAGCACTCAATTTTGTCAGGTACTTAACAAGGTGCATTGATGAAATTTCCAAGTAGATGGATCCTCTGCCACATAACTTTGTAAAGTTCATAATTTGTAAAGTGCTGCTCCTTAAAGAAATCAGTTCCCTTGATGACGAGCCGATGAAAGCTACTACTCAAAGCATTGCCCCAAAACACAAGGCATTGACATCATTAATACAAAGTCATGATCAATCTTTAAATGTCCTGGTTAGGGACAGCTTTAGCTGAAAGTGTTGGTTACTGCACTGTATTTATAAAACTAAAAGTTCAACAGAAACAGAATGACAAATTCATCAAGCAATCTAAAATAGGTCCAAGTCATTAAAAGAATCAATCTTTCAAAGATCTACAAACTGTACACAGAGTCTTGAGCACTTTCGAATACACCGTAGGTACACTTAAACAATAAAAAAAAGAAAATATGGATGAAAAATACAGTTGTTTGCCTGCTGCTGTCTAAAATCTGGGTTTGAGCAGCAGTAAAGCCTTCAGTTTGAGTGTCAGATCAGTTGTAACCAAAAGGACGAAGCGGTTACAAAAGAATGAGAGCAAGTAGACTTGAATTACCTCGAAGAGTCTTCAAGTACATCTCATTTGTTTGAAGGTAGCCTGTTCCTTATACTGTTGGAGTATTTGGAATCAGGATTATCGCTTTTATCGGTATCAGAATTCTCGCCTCTCTGCAACTCAATATCTGAGCTCCCTGCTTGGGTCCTTCTATGTATTCGATCCTGTAAACTCTCGGAAGGATTTATTTCATTGACATAAAGTATTAAAATACCAAGTTATTCATCCTATTTCGTAAAAGATTAAAGGGGAAAATATTCTTAAAAGCGCTGTAGAATATCACATAGGGAGGAAGTAGATAGTGAAACGGACTCATCAGTGCAGGTAGTAGACAATAGTGATATCAGTGAACTCAGAACATCCTTTTTTCCTTTTATTAAGTCGTCAAGTAAAAGATGGGTCCGTAAGTAAAACCATCAGATTGTTTTATCTATATTTTAGATAGTCATGATGTAATTTCTAGACTCTAGTTATATAAAATGGAGTTGCAGAAATTTTTTACTTTAAAAACTGCCTTCTCAGCCTTTTCTTATTGCTTGAGGACAATAAATTGGTATGGCACATTCTCAATCAATAAAATGGATGCATTGGTCTAAGTTTGTAACATATAAATATTCTCCAAGATCAGATAGGATGCAATGATAATATAATACTTGCTTGGAATTTACCTGAGGAAACAGGAACACCTTTGTAGCACAATCAGAGGACAGGAAGTTGAACACGACATTGTTGTTTTTCTGTAAAATAGTTCATATTTCTGCTACTAATCCAACAAGTGATTCCAAGTTCTGGCTTGTAAACAGCAATGTTTTAAGAGGATAATTTGCAAGCTTAGATATGGTTAGTAATTTGTTATACTTGCAGTCATATACATTGATAACTGTAAGAAGTTCCACCTGTAAAGGGTTTGCAAAGTAAGCAGCCTGTTCCACAGGTAGCAACAAACTGTTAGGTTTTTGGTATATAATATTAAAAGTCAATATTCTTTAACTGTCAAAAAGAAAAAGAAAAAGAAAAAGAAAACAGTGAGGGAATTCCTATGATATGGTAAAGAGTGTATATCATGTTTTGTTTGTCAAGCCAAAAAATAGCCAGACTCAGCTTATTCTTATTTCTTACCTGTCCTCAATGTCGTGCTCGGCATTATGAATCCTATAAGAATAGTATCGTAATAACATCCTATATCATAAAAGGTTTCTCAAAGCACTCCTTAAAAAAATTCATCCTTGTTCTCTTAGGTCTCTCCTTCCACTATTCTCAAAAAAAATTACTAAGCACAAATCCAAAAAGTTTGTGTTCAGACAGCATTAGGAACCCCAAATGCTGACTTACTTAGTAAATTACATATGAATAAGAAAATTAACTAACGCGGTCAGTAAAATACCTGTAATTATGCATAATCTGGAGTTGTCGAAGAACTTTTCAAAAAAAAGACCTTTAGGGAGCAATTACTGTTTTCCTTTGCAAACCGTGAAAACAAATAGAACATATCCTTGTGGAAAAACGCTGTAATTCGCTTGGTATCATAAGGAACCAAAAAGATATGCCCATACTCGACGTGATTCAACTTAAATAAATGATCAGAGTAAATGACAGCATGAAGTAAAACACTTTGACATACAATCCCTATTCATGAGCAAAACAAACCTCAACATATACTCGTATTAACCAGAATCAAGAATCCATGCATAGGAATTGCAGCCGAAGGAATAAGTTGACTTTGACAACTCTCCTTTTCTCCACTTGCAATGCAAAATAGAAGATTCTCCCTGAGAATTTTCATAGGAGTTGGGTTCCCAGGTCCTTATGCAAATGTATAGCGATTATGGAATCCAATAAGTAGAGTGTATATTTCTACAAGGAAAAAAAATTTATTTTGTTAAATTATTGATTTTATTAAACATAAGTATAGCAGTGAATATAATTTGAGAGAATAAGTATATTTTATTTGATGTTCAATAGTACTTTAGTTTTTTTTAATTTTGGTACACTATACATGCATTAGTAATCATAAATATCTCATATGCTAAGGTTAATTCTGTTTTTTTAAGTCATATAATAATAATAATAATAAATATTTAAGTGTAGAAGAAGATAAATACAAGGAAATAGAGTTATCATCACTATGAACAAAATAAAGAGAAAAGAGAAGAAAGTTGCTTAACTAACCTGAATCATCATGAACGATCTTTTGATGGTCATTTTGGAGTATAATTTGTGGTATATGTTCTTCAATCGATCACGTTCTCTAGGATCTTCGGATTGGAATAGTGTAAGTAAATTGAGAAGAAAAGGGTTGCCGATATGCGATTGAAGGGATGTAGGATCAATATTGGCAATTAAAACAGAGAGGGTTTCGTATATAATATGTAAATGTGGCCATAAAGGAGAGAAAACTATTGGAGGCGCATCATCATCGAAGGAGTATTCAGAGGAGAGGAAACGGGATGCCTGTGATGTTATCTGTTAGACTCGGTCTTTTATTTTCTTAGTAGTGATACAATCCTGTCAATTTTAATATACCCTTTGCGACTATTATTGTCTACGAAATGAGTTTTTTAGTGTTGGGTATCGTATCAGTACTATGGCAATATATGTTGAATGTTTTTAGCAAGCGATGGCTTGTCGATAAAGTGTTGCTATAGAGTTATCTTGTTTCACTTGAACCTGATATTAGTTTGATTCTCTGGGATAGTTTACTGTCTCGTGCGTCTGTCTATATATGATTAAAGTTGCTTTTTTTCTATAACCGTGGTACAAACCACACTGCCAATTTCATTATGGCCCATAAATCGGTGTTGCATTTAATCTGTGCATCTTGCGGACATTTTTTGACATAACCCTATAGGTTAAAATTCATGAGACAAACTTTGAATTTTATTTCTAAAACATCTGTTTTATATTGCTAAAACATCTGTTTGATGCTCGCAAATACTTGGGGCAGACAATTATATACATCTTGGACACTTATCTTTTTAGGGGGCACTTCATTACTTATATCATGGAGCAATGCATCATTAGTTATTATGCTTCCAACTATGCTGTTAATTATGTTATTATTGCATTAAAAATCTTATTGATCATTATTTGCTGATATTTCTACATGGGACTTTTGTTGGTCATATATCCAGTGGGTTGGCAATGTGTTCGCACAACTATCATTTTTGAATGCAACTATTACATAATAGGATAGCAAACTATAGATGATAGTTATAGCTCAAACAAATATGTAAACGCATTCCAAAATGTCATATGTCGAGGTGCAAATCATCAGATTCATACTTTTAAGGCCAATTTCAGGCAGTGTATCCTGAACAGAGCAAGCATGCATAAGAATTCAAACGTAGACAATTAATAGCTCGAGGTATATACCGTTGCCATTTCACACTTGTTTGTTGAATACGAACAATAGATATAGACTAAATTAACCAGACAGGAAAAATTAGAACAGATGAGAGTCCAAATACAGATGGATTTCATATAGGTAACACGCAGAATATTGTCATAAGCGATTGTGAAATTAGAACATGCAATAAATCTAGTAAACAATATTCATTCTAACTTTTACCTGATCAATTTTTTTTTCTTAAATGAATGTCTTATATATTAATTTATGTGATGACTGTGTTTCAATTGCCAGAAAGAATATTACATGGCATTCAAAATCACAGTCGCAATTTTTAATAAGATGATCAATCATATAGCATATAAAATCATACTTATAGGTATTAATGCTTGAACATGAACAGTGTTGCCTAAAGTACGACATGAAACTGAAACATTTAGGGTAGATCCTAAACTGTGTCATCACTATTTCATATATAATACATGGCTTACCTGATGAAACTGACAAAGGAGCAATATGAAGACTTGAAGCAAGCCCTGATTCGGACAATCCTTGACCTATTGTTGAATTAGAACAAAAGGAGATGATGGCTAATTAGAACAAAATTAAATTAAATGAACACCAAAAAAGTAAAATTATTCTTACCGATGCCAAAATTCAGACAACTGAGGAGATGATGGCGGAGGCGCAGAGATGATGATTAGGGTAGTAACAATCAATTTTGGAAATTTATGACTTAAGATCGTGGGACGGCGTAACGTAAGAACTGAGAGAAGGCGGAGAGAAGGCGGAGAGAAGGCGGAACCGAAGGAAGATTTAGGGAAACGGATGAACTGGTGAATTGATTTCATCTTTAAAAGATGTAACGGAAGATTGGATGGGCTGAGGAGAAGGTGGAGAGGAAGAACCGAAGGAAGAATTAGGGATTTTGATTTCAGCTGATGTTGTAAGGGATAGGGTTGGTATATATTATTTCGGTTGAAGGTTA